GAATCTTTTCCAGTCTTGGCACTAAAACTATCCTCCTCTATTTTCCTATAAGTCTTTTAATACTTTTATTGGATGTCTATTGCTGTATAACAAAATTACCACAAACTTAGTGGCTTAAAACAACACACATTGATTATCTCAGAGTTCCTGTGGGTATGAATCCATGGGTCCTGTGCACAGTCTTTCACAAGGCTGCCATCAGGTTGCTGGCTAGCACTAGGATCTCATCTGACACTCACCTAGAGAAGCATCTGCTTCCCAGCTCTGTGGTTATTGGCAAGATTCAGTTCCTTGTGGGTTCTTGGACTAAAAGCTTTTGTTCTTTTGGCTGAAGAACACCCTCAGTCATGACCACATGGACTTCTCCATATGGCAGTTTACTTCATGAAAGCCAGGATGGGAGCAAATCAGTAGAGAAACTACTAACAATGTAGCTCATTTGGAAGTGACACTTAGTCAGCTTTGGTTAGAAGCAAGTCACAGGTCCTTACTTGAGATCACGAATACCAGGTGTAACAGTGGGGGTCATTTTAGAGTCTATTTGCCATAGATTTTGGTCTTTTAATATTTCAGGATTTAATCTGCTTTATATTGTGTTGATTCTGACTTTTTTTTTCTGTATGAGTAAACCTGTTATCCTAGCAATCAAAAATATACATCTTTGTTTTACTATGGTTGCAAATATCAAAAAATTTCTATATGTGACACGGCACCAGAGTTAAGTTAGGGTTTTTCAAAATGCTGACACGCCGAGCTCAAAAGGTTCACCATCACTAGACTGAAAAGATTGAAACTCCTTTCTTCCCCACTACCTTTCCATGCTATTGCTACAACATGTCAGGCCTTCTATTTTGTATGAGTCTATTTCTGCTCTCTATTCCGCTGGCAAATTTAACAATGCCACTGACAACACTACACTGTCTTAATTACTATAGTCATTTTGATAGCCTTGAAATCTGGCAAGGCAAGTCTTTTTATTTTCTTTTTCCTTATTATGTCTTAGATTTTCTTAAGCCTTTGTTCTTACATGTGCATTTTAGACTTAGTTTGCACAGTTTCTCAAAGCTAACAAACGAAGAACAATACATGTTAATTGTAAATGCGTTAAATCAATTTTTGTAGAATTGACCTCTTTACATTAATTAGTCCCTGTTCATGAGCATGGTATGTCTCTCCTATATAATACTTTGATAGTTGTCTCCGAGCACTTTATATTGTTATTACAGTAGATGACATTTATTGTTAATTATATATTCTAACTGTTGTGAGTTATATAGAAAATACAGTTGATTTTTGTGTATTTATATTGTATCAGGGACCTTATTAATTCTTCTTAATAATTTAATAATTGGCCTGTAAATTCTTTTGAAATAAATGGTTATACAACTGTAAAAACAAAACATTCTTTGATTTATTTATGCAAACCATTGATTGAGCTTAGAACTGGGCTCTGAACTAGGTTCTCAAGTTACTGTGGTGAACGGGAGAGACGGCATCTGTGCCTGGGATCCTTCTCACCAGTGAAGTGAGACTGATGCATGGAATCATGACCTTGAATAATAGTTAAGAAGGGAAAGTCCTGTGAAATGGGCAAACCTGACCTGTCTGGGAGCTCCCTAGTGAATCTGACCTGGCTGGAAGTGTAGCTGGAAAACAACTTGATGAAGAGGGAGAACTTTCCAGGCAGAAACAGCAGCAAATGCAAAGATCCTCGGAGTGGGGAGGAGACCAGAGTGCCCAAGAAAGGGAGGAGTCTGTGCTGTACCGAGGGGATGAAGGGGAGTTGGTAAGAGGTAAGTGAAGAGATAGAAAAGATCTGATGGTGGTGCAGTAAGGATTTCTCTGCTTCCAACTACTTTGCCCCCTCTTGCCCTCATTGCTCTCAGGATAGCAATCTCATCAGATCTGCAGTCTTAGACTCAGCTGCTGTGTGAGGAATACATGGGGAAGTGATAGGTTTCTGATTTGTGGATACATGGAGTTGCCACTTAATGAGATGCAACATTGTGGAGAATGGAGTCTGGGGCTAGAGCCTGAGTTCAACTATACACCTGTTGGGCTTGAGACATCAGCAAATGTTACTGAGGCAGTTGGATATAGACAGGCCTGGAGTTCAGAGAAATCTGGACTGGAGAATTTAAGTGGTAATTTCCACTTAGGGGACAATTAAATAAGTGCCAGAGAAGAGAGTGTAGGTTTAAATAGGTGATGCTATCAGGTGGTAGTAGCACCCATCCAAAACACCCCAATGACTATCAGGTGGGGTGTTGGTATGATCTTCTCAAGATAGATGAAAGGAAACTCAGATTGAAATTATATTTAGGAAACATTTGCTGAGTTGTTAGTTTTCTTAAAACTTGAGGGAATTCTTGTTGGGCATTTTTCTGTCCCACATTCAAACATATCTATTTGAATACTAGAGGCCCGGTGCACAATATTCGTGCACTTTGGGGGTGGGGGTGGGGCTCCCCTCAGCCCGGCCTGCGCTCTCTTGCAGTCCGGGACCCCTCAGGGGATGTCCAACTGCCGGCTTAGGCCTGCTCCCCGCTCGCTGCTTCTTAGCACTGCCTCAGGGGCAGCTCCTGTGTTCAGCATCTGCCCCCTGGTGGTCATTGTGCGTCATAGCGACCAGTCGTTCCCCTGTTCGGTCTATTTGCATAATAGGGTTTTATTATATAGGATATGACATAAAATACATTTAGGATCAGGAATAGTATTGTGCCTTCATAAAATGTTAAGTTCATTAGCTTAGATGACAAATAGTAGAGATGATTTAGGTTTCAGTAGTTCGGACTTATTCCATAAACATGACCTACTATGCCCAAGTTTATGAAGCGCTATAATGCCACTGAGGATGCGGGATGCACCGAGTTACGTGCTGGGCTAACTCAAACTTGCCCTGGCAGTTTGACAACCTGTTCTTATTGTACCAGATACCATTTATCTCCCAACGACATCATTTTCTGGCGCCATTACAATAATTCAGTGTTAATTAACAGGAGTAGTGGTTTAAAAACCTCCATATTGTGATGTGATATACATAGATGATCCTTAAAGTATGTCTATAATGTGCCATATTAAGAAGTACCGTCTTAATACAATATTGCATAACAAAGTCCCTTTACCTATGGATCCAACATCCTGGAGCGTTATAAAGTGTATTTTGCAGTAGCTTTGGACACTTAGAGATAATAGCAATTACCGTTTGTTAAATATTTTATATACATTAACTTAAACTTCACAACTATTTAGGAAAATGATTTGCCCCACTTTGCAAACTAGGGAATGGGGCCTTGGAGAAGTGAGAAGTTAAGTAAGTTACCCAAGACCACATACCGAACAGGTGTGGGGCTGAGCTTCAAACCCAGGTCTCTGAATTCAGAGTACATTTTAAATTTTGCTCAGCCTTGCCAAATTGCCTTCTAATTTGTGAGAGTGGATTTTTTTTTTCCTATTTATAAGCTATTTGTGTTTCTCTCTTTTGGGAGTTTCCTTTGTTGTTTTTTCCTTTGAGTTTCTCTTTCTGGTTGTTATACAGGTCAAGAAATATAGTTGAAGTTTGGTACTTTTAGAAGACAAAAAAAAGGCAACATGCTAGTTGTCTCTATGCAAGTTTTACTCAGCTTTTTCTGTGGGCATATTTCTTTTCTTTTTTAAATGTTTATTGTTGAGAATAATACAGATGGTCCCCTCTTCCCCCTTCCCCCCCATTCCCCCACTCTGCCCAGGTCCTGGCCCACCCTAGGCCTTCACCACCTTATTGTCTATGTCCATTGGTAATGCATATATGCACATAAGTTCTATGGTTAATCTCCCCTCCCCCTTCCCTCTGAGATTCATCAATCTGTTTCATGTTTCCATGCCTCTGGTTCTATTTTATTAATCAGTTTATTTTGTTAATTAGATTCCTTGTTCATTTATTTTGGTTTTTAGATTCAATTGTTGATAGATATGTATTTATTGCCGTTTTATTGTTCATATTTTTTTTGTCTTTTTTCTTCTCCCTCCACCTTCTCCTTCCTCTCCTAAAGAATACCCTTCAACATTTCATGTATTACTAGAGGCCCAGTGCATGGATTCGTGCACCAGTGGGGTCCCTCGGCATGGCCTGCGGGAAATCGGGCTGAAACTGGCTCTCCAACATCCCCCAAGGGGTTCCGGATTGCGAGAGGGCACAGGCCAGGCCGAGGCACCCACCAGTGCATGATTGGGGCCGGGGAGGGACCATGGGAGGGCTCCAGAGTGTGTTGGGCCCGTCTCGCCCAGTCCCGATTGGCTGGACCCCAGCAGCAAGCTAACCTACTGGTTGAAGTGTCTGCCCCCTGGTGGTCAGTGTGCATAATAGCAACTGATCGAATGGTCAAACTGTCAGTCACTTAGCATATATTATATAGGATTGGTTTGGTGGTGGTGAACTCTTTTAGCTTTTTCTTGTCTGTGAAGCTCTTTATCTGACCTTCAATTCTAAATGATACCTTTGCTGGGTAGAGTAATCTTGGTTGTAGGTCCTTGCTATTCATCACTTTGAATATTTCTTGCCACTCCCTTCTGGCCTACAACGTTTCTTTTGAGAAATTAGCTGACAATCCTTTGGGCACTCCCTTACTTTTCTCTTGCTGCTTTTAAGATTCTGTCTTTGTCTTTAATCCTTATTTTAATTATGGTGTCTTGGTGTGGGCCTCTTTGGGTTCATATTGTTTGGGACTCTGTGCTTCCTGGACTTATAAAAGTCTGTTTCTTTCACCAAGTAGGGAAAGTTTTCCGTCATTATTTTTTCAAATAGGTTTTCAATTTCTTGCTTCTTCTCTTCTTCTGGCACCCCCATGATGCAAATGTTGGTAAGAATAAGCATATTTCTATGCACATATATAATAGGAGTGTTTCCACATACAAAGATAAATAATCTCTGGATTAGCATGGTGCCTGCAAATGCCTACAGACTATTTCTGTCAGTGTGTGAGTATTTCAGTAACTCCCCGGGGTATTGAAAAAGAATTAATTAATTCCCTTTATTTCTTCTTCAGGTTTGCCTGCGATGAGATTTCATTCTCTACAGTTAAAGGACATCCTTTATGAGCTCTGTGAATAAATTTGGAATGATACTGTATATTTTCATCTAATGGAGGATTAGCTGTACTTTGAATAAGGATTGCTGCACTGGACAACTTCAGAATATTACTCACAATGTCATCGAACAGGAGTCAGAATCCCCATGGACTGAAGCAGATTGGCCTTGACCAGATCTGGGATGACCTCAGAGCCGGAATCCAGCAGGTGTACACCAGACAGAGTATGGCAAAATCCAGATACATGGAGCTCTACACGTATCCTGCTGCCTGCATTGAGAGCTATTTGCTTAGAAGCCTGTTTACTAATATGATCTGAGAATTATTAGAAATTTGACATGTTTTCTCTCTCAGTTCATCCATGAGTTCGTTTTAGCTTTAAAAATTAAGTCACTCTTAAGTTTTTTGAACAGAGGTGAAATTGGCTGGTTGGTAGTCTAAAGCTGTGCTGTTCAGTACAGTGGCTATAAGCTACACGTGGCTGTATTTCAAGTCATTTAAATTATGTAATTAAAAATTCAGTTTTGCCCTTACTGGTTTGGCTCAGTGGATAGAACGTTGGCCTGTGGACTGAAAGGTCCCAGGTTTGATTCTGGTCAAGGGCATGTACCTTGGTTGTGGGCACATCCCCAGTAGGAGGTATGTAGGAGGCAGCTGATCATGTTTCTAACTCTCTATCCCTCTCCCTTCCTCTATGTAAAAAATCAATAAAATATATTTTTTTAAAAATTTAGTTTTTATGTTGCAGTAGGGGCATTTTTTAAAATATGTTTTTATTGATTTTAGAGAGAGGAAGGGAGAGGGATAGAGAAATAGAAGCATTGGTGAGAGAGACATGAGAGAGAAACATTGATCTACTACCTCCTGCACAACCCCCCATGGGGAATCAAGCCTACAACCTGGGCATGTGCCCTGACCAGGAAAGAAACCAGTGACGTCTTGGTTCATGGGTTGATGCTCAACCATGGAGCCACACTGGCCAGGTGCAGTAGCTGTATTTCAAGTGCTCTGTAGATAGATAGTAGACTGCTTCCCTCATGGCAGAAAGTTTTGTTGGACAGCGCTGGTTGTGGGGGTTGGGGGTTGGTTTCCATGTTACCTGTGGCTGCCTTCATAGGGTAGATGGAGAAGAGTTGGATAGTTGCATCAGAAATGGTCTGGTCCACAAAGCTGATAGCATTTACTCTCTGGCCCTGTATGGGAAAAGTTTGCTGACCCATCTAAAGGGTTACTACACAGAGCTAAAGTTCTACTTTATGCTCTGTTTTTACAAACATGGTATTTTTAAAAAGTATTTCATTCATTTCGTAGTGCATGGTGTGTGCAAGGGACTGTGCCGTGTGCTATGGAGGTTATGTGGGGTGGAGGGCAAAAGATGTAGCTCCCATCTCCATTATATATTCAGTGATAGACTATTTAACTTGTAGTTTCTTGATGCCATTTAAGTATAATAAATTGAAATATAAGCTAACTTAATAGAGAGCAGATTGCTACTGATTTGCTGGTTCTAGGAGTTTAAAGTTTCTAGTTTAATGGATATTTATGTTTGTCATTAATATGTATCAATGATTGTCAAACTTGGTTAGATGATTTTCCAGTATACCCACAACTATGCTACTATTTTAAAATCTTTAAAACTTTTACATTAATTTAAGTAGATACAAAACTGTATGTTCCTTTCTAAATTTAAATTTTATTATAGGTGTGTACACATACTCATAATGTGTATATGTATACACTTCTGTAGAATATTTTTTTAAAAATAACAGCTTTATTGAATATCATTTACATACTATAAAATTCATCCTTTTTAAAAAGTATACAATGCAGCGGTGTTTAGTATAGTCACAGTTGTGCTACCATAACCATTTTCTAATTTTGAACATTTTTATCACCCCCAAAAGAAACTCTGTACCCATTAGTAGTCATCTCCATTCTCTCCTCCCCCAGCCTCTGGCAACCCCTGATCTACTTTCTTTCTCTAAGAATTTGCCTGTTCTGGACGCTTCATGTAAATGGAATCACACAGGATGTGGCTTTTCATGACTGGCTTTGTTCACTTAAGATAATAACATTTCCAGGCTCATCCTTTTTGTAGCAGGGTTGGTGCTTCATTTGTTCTAATGGCTAACTTGTGTGAACATGACGCATGTTTTCCATTCATCAGTGAGGGATATCTGGTCGTGTCCACTCTGGGCTGTCAGGAACAATGCAGCTGTTATGAATATTGTGTGAGTTTTTGTGTGCACCTGTGTTTTCATTTCTCTTGGGTACATACGTAGGAGTGGGATTGCTAGATCATATAATACAGGGAACACTTTTAAGCAGGATAGAATCTTTGCAAATGAGAGGATATTATTCCACTCAAGAGGGTTGTGGCCTTTTGGGTATGACAGTTTTTTTGTGTGTGTTTTTTTTGTAGTAGAGCTGAAGATGTGATTCCAGAGATTAGACAAGGCACTTGGTTGGATTTCTGGCTTTTAAAAAAAACGGGAGCATTAATGTGGAGATCAAGGAATTTTTATTATCTCTGGGGAATTTCTTAATGTGTAATTTTTTACTAAATCAGATTGGTCTTTTACCCAATAGGATGTTTTGCTTTTAGTATTCTCTCTAAGAAAGTAGACTTTGTCTGCTTGCAGCAATTACTGAATTCTTTTATTCTACAAGTAATTATAATTTGTAGTTGTTATAATAATTACAATTTTAAATATTTTAGGAATAATACTCTTAAATTGAGTGCTATTTTTTTGCCTTCCAGTTTGGTCTAAGACAATAACAGTTACATAAATTAATTAAGAGTGGAGAATCTAACTTTAAATCTTAAGATATTATTTATGAAATCATAGCCACAGTTTGAGTCCTGTGTGTCAGGCATTGTGCTAGGGACCACCTACATCTTATTTAAGGCTTAAACCACCCAGGAAGGTTGGTGTAGTAACCCTTGATGTCAGAAACCTGGTCTCCAAAACCTCAAGTAACTCACCTAATTGTTGTAACAACTACTGATAAATGATGATGCCAGAACTAAAATTCTTAGTAGTCTAAATATAGAAACTGCCTTTTATCTCCTATATGCCTCAGGATTTATATTTGGATGAATCGCATTTCTCAAAGTATTTTCTGTATTTTCCTTATGAAGTTCCAAAGAAGGGTGTTTTGATCAACTCTTTGTTTTTAAAAAAATTTTTTATTGATTTCAGAGAGAAAGGGAGAGGGAGAGAGAGATAAAAACATCAATGATGATACAGAATCACTGATCGGCTGCCTCCTGCATGCCCCATACTGGGGATAGAGCCTGCAACCTGGGCATGTGCCCTGACCGGGAATTGAACTGTGACCTCCTGGTTCATAGGTTGACACTCAACCACTGAGCCACGTCGGCCAGGCTGATAAACTCTTATTATATTAACTTTTAGGATACAGATAAAACAGTAGAATGTCTACTTGTATTTATTAATTTGATTATTGAAATCCTAGAATTGAACTCCTCCTTTCACCTGCATTTTTAGTATTAGTGTTATTGTCATAAGTAGAACTTTGAGTCATCTGACACATTTTTCTAGAGCACATCTTCACTTCCATTTAAGTCATTTTAAGATATATAGTACTTCCTGAAATTATGTGTTGCTATGACTACAGTTTTATGCCAGTTCAGTTTGCATAACAGTTTTGTTTCTGTTTAAGTTATTTTCTTCCAGGTGTATATTCAGTCTCCCATGGACCCACTTAACTGTATCGCTCCTTAAAATACTTTCCTACAGGCTGGTTTACAGTGACATCTGACACATGGGATTGTGAGGTTATGTTTCAGGTTAGCAGGCACTTTTGGTCCCGGGAAGAAGGAGCAGACTGCACCTCACTCTTCTGGGGTTACTCTTCAAAGGGTAAAGAACCTTATTAAGCAAGAGAGGATTGGAAAACTGGTTGAGAGAAAGAATGGAGGAACCCTTTTCTTCCCATATGTCTAACTGGTAGATTAGATTAGAACAATCTAATAAAGCTAATTTGTTCACTTTTATTTATCCTGGAGACAGGCCTGCCATGTTTTCTAGAAAAAGGAACCTACTTCTAGATGTGAAGTGATATTCTTAGAGCCCTTAGGAACCTGTGGAGTATTGAATAGGACGATGTAATAGGACTTTGGGCTGTTAGGCAGCATAAACGTTTTTCTTGTTTTTTTCCAGCTCAGAATGGCAAAGGAAAGAGAATGGAATTCGGAGAAGGAAAAGGTCTCAGAGCATCTGAGTCAGAAGGATCTAGTTCAGTTTCCTTTGTTTCCAGCCACTTCACAGAGGCTTCATTTTCTACTGAAGTTTTAGCCTTGAGCCCTTGTTCCCCACTCTGTGTCTTGTTGAGCACTTCCATGCAGTTGCAGTTTCCTGGGATGTCCCACATGCATATATGTAGTTAAATAATGACTTTTCTTTTTGCAGTAAAATACAGGAGCTCTCCTGTCCAGTACTCCTTGATAGTAGTCAGTTTCCTTTCTTTTGAACTTGAAATAGGAAATGAAGTTTCTTATCAATTTGTGGGCACCATTATATTTCCTGTGTCATGCCTGGTTCAGAGGACAGGCCAGGGTCCTGCTAGTGGAACAGGCACTTAGGAAGGGAATGCTATGCAAATTTATCTCCTATATGGCATAGCTGACAGACCCAGTCATATCTAGTCTAGGCACTGGGCTGTCCGATTGAAGTTTCTCTTTGTTTTTGTGAGGCCCAGGTCTACCTTCCCTCACTTCCAGGTCAAAATCGTTTTTTTGTTGTTGTTTTTCTGCTGTCATTATACTCCTCAAACTATCATTTTAGCTTCCCTGGGAATCAATTTAAACTTCCATGTTGATGTCTTTCTCTTTCTTTCTCTCTGCATTAGTTCTCATAAATTTTAAAGTTTCTGTTTTTCTCCCTGTAGTTCTGTGAGCTGAATTAGTTCATTCCATTTTCTTGGCCTGTTTTTTCAAAATGTTTTCCCCCAGTTTGGTGAAGGAGGGGTAGTGGGTGGGAGGAAGAGGTCATTGGGGAGAAAAAAGGGGACAGCTGCAATACTTTCAACCATAAAGATTCTTTTAAAAATCTTTTCCCCAACAGTACACTAAGGATCACGTTCAGTGTTCCTAGTAAGTTATAATATCAGCATATTCATAGTTCACATTTAACCTCTGTTCTGTGACACAACTCGTCCCTGGAGCGGGGCTCACTTCACCCAGAGTAGACCTGCTGAGCCATTGGCAGCCGCAGCAGGTGCTCTACAGGAAT